TTTTTTTTTTTCTTTTTGGTGAGGCAATCGGAGTTAAGTGACTTGCTCAGGGTCACACAGCTAATAAGTGTCAAGTGTCTGAGGCTGAATTTGAACTCAGGCCTGAGCTCTATCCACTGTGCCACTGAGCTGCCCCTGAAGCAATATTCTTACAACTAAATGAGCTATTCAGAGCAGGTACCCTCACTCCTGCCTTATGGGAGATGAACTGTTACCTAATTTCATGTCTCTGGCAAATTTCAGTGCTGGAAACTGAACCCTGGTCTCCCAAATTTCTCTCTACGTATTCTTCCCACAAATAGCCTTTAAAAGAACACCTTAGAGACTAGGCTTCCAAGACCATCAACGAAGAGTTTGATGACCTACCAGCAGGCCTTTGCATTCCAGGGGCAGCTTGGGAAAAAGAAGTCTTTTTTTTTTTTTTAAGGCACTTGGGGTTAAGTGACTTGCCCAGGGTCACACAGCTAGTAAGTGTTGAGTGTTTGGTCTGAGACCGGATTTGAACTCAGGTCCTCCTGATTTCAGGGCCGGTGCTCTATCCACTGTGCCACCAAGCTGCCCCCAGAAAAAGAAATCTTAGGTGAGGGGCATTTAACCTGTTGGGTGTCATAGACTCCTCCAGCAGTCTGGTGAAGCCTACAGAACCCCTCACAAAGCAATGGTCTTAAATGCAGAAAATAAAACATACAAGATTACAAAGGAAATCAATTATAATGAAATTTAGTTGTCGAATTTTTTTTAAACAAGTTGATGAACCTCAGGATAGGAACCCCTGTTCTAGGTCCTGAAGGACTTACAGCTTCACGTTTTAGGCCTCATAGGGATAGAGAGGACGTCATGCTGACAGCAGCTGGGACTTGACGTCAGGAGCCCTGGGTTGGAATACCAGCTCTGTTACTGACTATCTGTGAATCTAGGTAACTCACTTCACCCACGTCAGTCTCAGCTCTCTCCTCTGTGAAGTGAGAGGGTTGGACCAGATGGTCTGAGGTTTATCCTGTCTATGACAGTCTATATTCTGGAGCTCCTCCTAGAGCTGACACTGCCTCTTAACCCTAACATTCTTTGTTTTAAGGACCCTCCCAGCTCTGACATCCTGTGTTCTAAAGCCCCTGCCAAGGGGAGAGGGGAGCAAGGGAGGGACAGAATTTGGAATTCAAAACTTTAAAAAAATGATTAAAAATTGTTTTAACATGTAATTGAGGAAAAAATAAAATATATGTAAAACTTTTTTAAAAGTTTGTTTTAACTTTCAAAAAAATAATAAATAAAGCCCCTCTCAGCTCTGACAGTCTGTATTCTAAGGCCCTTCCAGTTCGGACATTTCTTGTTCTAAGGGCCCTCCCACCCCTGACATTCAGTGTTCTAAGGACCCTCCCAGCTCTGATAGTCTGTGTTCTAAGGGCCCTTCCAGCTTGGACAGTCTGTGTTCTAAGGACCCTCCCAGCTCTGACATTTTATGTTCTAAGGACCCTCCCAGTTCTGACATTCTAGGTTCTAAGATCCCCCCAATCTGACATTCTGTGTTCTAAGGGCCCTCCCAGCTGTGACATTCTGTGCTCTCAGGGCCCTCCCAGCTCTGACATCCTGTGTTCTAAGGCCCTCCCAGCTCTGACATTCTGTGTTCTAAGATCCTTCCCAGTTCTGCCATTCTCTATTCTCAGGTAACATGCAACACATTCTAACATGAAAATAATAACAGCACCTGCCTGCTTGGGTTACTGTGATGCTCTGAGATATTTGTAAAGCCCTAAGCTCAGTGCCTGGCACACAACATGCACTTATTAAACGCTTGGTATCACCATCATCATCATTATTATGAAGGTCCCTTCAAGCTCCACCAGTCTCTGAATTGAGATTGGATGAATGAACTGGACGTGGTTTTTCAAAACAAACTGAAGAAGCCTCAGGTTGTGGGCAGAGAAGATCCAGGACCAGGGGAGCCCTCCCAAGCCAGCCCTTTGCTGCATTCCCAAAACAATTGCAGTGGACCATACCGTGCTTTTGAGAGTCCAGATTCTCGCAGGGCACGTCATCATAAATCACATCTTCTTCCAGGATGGGGAAGGTGAAACGGTCAACTGGAGGGTGGAGAGAGAGGGAGGGAAGGGGAGAGAGACAGAGAGGGAGAAAGGAACGTCAACATGGGACCGACTCTGGCTCGCTGCTGGGGAGGGGCCCTTCAGGCTGACATTAGGGCTGTACCAGCTGCCAGCTCCCACCTTGCTGGGAGCTCAGGCACCAGGCTGGAAGCCTCAGCTGCATCCTGAATCTCCCTTCCGATACCCTGACGTTGGAATCATCAGTAAGCCCTGAAGGCTTCAGGAGAAGAGAGGGGGAAAGGAGGGGATGAGAGAGACTGAGAGAGAGAGGGCTCACCCTAATGGCTATTAGCTAAATCAACTCTCCTCTCACCACCCTCCTCCACCATCTCCTCTGCATTCAGGCATCAGCTACCAAGGTCTTCTCCTTGCCCCACCCACCTTCCTTCCTGCAATCTATGAGCCACAACCAGCCCAGCCAGACAACCCACAGAGCCTCAGAGCCCCTGGTAGAGAGGGTCTCCCAAGAGGCCCAGCAAAGAGGCCCCAGACAGCCCCAGGCCATCCTTCCCAGCGATGAGTGCCACTTAAGTATGAATGGCTAATGCTGCTTCCAGGAGGAGACCCAGGCAGAGCCAGCCCCGCCTCCCAGGGTAACACTGCAGAGGAGGGCTTTTCTCTCCCCAACTCCAAGGTAAGTTGAGCTTCCTTAGCACACTGGGACAACAAAGTCCAACTCGTCATTTAACCAGACTTAGATGGTGCAGGATGAAATCCCTAAATTCATCATCCCCCTGAGGTGCCCAATCCCCAGCTCTCCCATCAATGGGGGGATGGTCCATTCTGTCTCTGCCAAGGGATAAGATTCAGAAAAATGTAGGGAACTAGCTGTGCCCCCACACCCTATGTCATCACCCCTCAGTCTATAGTTCTCTAGTTCTATAATTCTATGGCATGACAGCCAATGGTCCTTTAGCCTTTAGACTCAATATTCTTATGGCCCTAAGGCCCTAGAGTCCAATGGTGATACGGCCCTAAGGTTCTAGGGCCCAATGGTGATATGACCCTTCCTCTCTCATTAGGGATGACCCTCTGACAACTTTTACAGGCACCTTTCTTTATCATACAGATTCCTGTCCCCACAGCTAGAATCCTAGCTCAGAGATAAAAGATGGCAGCCCCATTCTCTTTCAAGACAAAGCCTCTCATCCATTTGAATCTCCCCCACCCTCCAATTCCAAGGATGCCCTACCTCGGCGAGAGCTCTTCCGCTTCCAGCTGGACCGCCGAATCCCGGCTCCCACGGCTTCCCCATTGCTCACCACAGCCAGGATCCTGCAGGGGGAGAGATGCCACAAGACTGGAGGGGGCAGAAAACAGCCTGAGCCAGGGAACCAGGACCTCAAGGGCACAATCCTGGCAGAATAGGCAGGGGTCAACCCGCCCATCAGTACCAGGCCACCATCAAACAAGGGATAGAAATCAGGGGACCAGGCTCCAGCCCAACATTGCCATCGAGTAACCTTGAGTAAACTTCACTTTCTAGGGCCTCAGTTTCTTCATTTGAAAATGGGGATAATACTGCCAGCCTGACTCATGGAGTGGTAAGTTTCATATAACAATACATAGGAAAGTGCTTTGGAAAGTACAAAGTGAACAGGCACAGAAGGCCTTGTTATCCTCCCTAGCTGTAAATGTAGATCAATTCAATACTCGCCATCCATCCATCCATTCATTTATTCATTCAACAAATAATTATTTTGCACCTACATTTTGCAATGTGTCAACATGTAGGATTGTGAATTAGAAAAGGTCATTGGATGATTGGCCTGCACCAGCAGAGAGGGGCACCCACACTTAGTGAGAACACACATTCACTAAAATATCAAAAAGGCCTTTGTATAATTCACTAGAAGAGATACACTGGAAAAGTTAGGCGTGGTTCCTAACTCCAAGGAGCATATAAAGGAAATGAATGAACTAGTATTTATTAGGTAGGCTTGGAGTCTGAAAGACTCCAATTCAAATCCTGCCTCAGATACTTAGTAGTTGTGTGACCTCCCCTCCCACCCCCAGCCTGGTCAAATTACCACTATCTGACTCAGTTTCCTCCATAAACACAGATAATAATAGTACCTACTTCCAATGAGATAGTAATTGAGCTATTATGAGATGTTAATTATGACATTATTAATTACAATACTTGTTACTATTATGAGATAATCATAGGAAAGCACTTTGCAAACTGAAACAGCCAGTTACTAGCTACTAATGTGTTAGGCAGTGAGGTTTCAGAGACAAAAGAGAAACCGTCCTCAAAGACGTTGTATTCACTTAGGAGGAGATAGTGCATAGAGGGGAGAGGGGCTGAGGAAGACAGTTTGGGTCCAAGGAGGTGCAGGGATGGGGTGTGGAATTATTGGGCAGCACGGTCATACCCTTTCCCAGTAGCAATGGGAGCTTGAAGCCTTTTCCTGGTTCCTCTCCCCAACCCCAGAGATTAGAAGCCTCTCCTCAAAAAAAAAAAAAAATTCCCTTCTATTTATTTTGCATATATTTTACATAGACTGATATATGTACATGATAGTATGTAAGATCCTTGAGGGTAGGGACTGTCATTTTTTTGCTTTTTGCATCCTCAGTGCCTAGCATATTGTTTAGTTATTTTTTGATTGTGTCCAATTCTCTGTGACCCCATTTGGGGCTTTCTTGGCAAAGATACTGGAGTGGTTTGCCATTTCCTTCTTTTTTACAGATGAAGAAACTGAGGCAAACAAGGTAAAGTGACTTTGCCCAAAGTTACATGGCTAGTAAGTGTCTGAGGTTGGATTTGAACTCAGGTCTTCCTGACTCCAAGCCTGGTGCTCTATTCACTGTGTCACCTAGTTGCCCTGCCTAGCACAGAGTAGATCCTATAATAAATGACATAATAATAAATGATAGTTGAATGATGGTTCGACAGATCAATTACTGTTCCCTGAGCAAGATCAAATGATGGAAAGCAGAGGTCAAGGGTGGTAGGAAAACCGTGGGAGGCTGGATATGCCCATGCTGGCTGGATGGGCGACAAAGCGTGGTCTTGGGTAAGAGAGACACAGAAGCACAGTCTTGGGTGGGTGGGATGTCCCGAGGCAGGCAAGCTTTCTCTCACTCACCCATCAGTCAGGAGAGCTTAGCACATGATCAAATAAAATAATAAATAGTCTATAAAGTAAGAAGACCTAATTCATTGAGGGAAGAGCTAGGAGTCAGGAAATCTAGGTTGCAATCCTTCCTCTCTCCTCCGGGCTGTATGACCTTGGCCAAATGACAGCCCTCAGAGCCTGTGGAAAATCTCAAGAACCTGTCTTCTAAAGCATACAGAGTTCTGGGTGCAATTGATTGGCTTTCTGAAAGACTTCCCACAGGCCCAGAAGCTGAGCTTCCCCCCTAACAAAAATCACAAATCCCATCATATTCACTCGCATGTCATCTCAAATAATCTAAGAATAATAAATCACATTTTTACAGCACTTAGAAGATTTACCAATCCCCCTGATGGAGCACTAATGATGGACCCCTAAAAGGCCCCGGACTTTCCCACGTGGTCCAAGTCCCTGGCATTCATCTGGGGCACCCAGCCCTTTCCACTTAATCCTTCCAACTACCCTTTTGTTGTGGCCCTCACTGTCTGCACCTGGCCCCACCCTAGACTACCACTACCTCCCAGTCACTCCAGACTACTTGGCCACTCCCAGATCACATCGAGATCTTCCCACAGTCTTTCTGTATACAAGATCCATCTTGCCTCCATTAAATTGCTCAGATTCTTAAAATCTGGCCAATAGCACAAACTCACTAGGAATCTCACCTACTCCAACGGTGTTTTAATAAACCTTGTCTCTTACTGAAAGAAGGCTTGAGTCGAATTCTTTCCAGGCATGACTCATGTCATTTGCACTTGAATTTCAGGATTCCCAGCATCCCTAGACCACAACATGCCTTTCTAAAAAGAACCCAATGAGGCAGTTTAAACAAATATTATTGTCCCCATTTTGTAACAAAAATAATAATAGTAATAACTCCTATTTCTATAATGCTTCATAGTTTGTAAAGTACTTTGTTCATAAGAATCCCCTGAAGTACGTTCATTTTACAGATTAAAAAACTGAGGCTCAGAGGGGTTAAATGACTTTCGGTCACTTCCTCTCTCTGGGCCTGCTTCTTCTTTCAGTGAAATAAGGTGACCTCTGGCAATCCTCTGTCCTTGACTTGCCCACAGGCATGCGGCCACACCAAGC